CCACATTTGTAGATGATGCATCTGCATCCGGTTGGGTGTGTGGATTCAGTTCTGAGAAGTCTCGCCACTTAGCTGCTACCAGCATCATCAGTTTGGACATTGGGACCTATGCATAATACATGTAAAAACAAATTATAAGATATTGAATATTTCTTCTAAATAATAACATTACTTACTTTCGGATTTTCTTTTGCTAAAAGCGGTCTAACATGTTGTTGAAACAGTTTATATGTTGTTAAATTTTGAAAATCTGCATCAGAGTATTCTATTTGTACATCAGTTAATCCAAAGGTGTTGCAAACTTCTTCTATCGTTGGCATTCCAGTTGTTGGTTCTTGTCCTTGTGTAGCCGATTCATTATGACTGGATGATTTCCTCGATGAAGATTTTCTACTCTTCCTATTGCCTGCATAGTCGCTATCATCACCTGCTGCATCACCAACATCTCCACCACCAAAATCACTTTCCTAATATTTTTTAAATAAAACTTATTGTAAGGAAAGGAAGATATAATAATTACTAGTATAATAAATATATGTATATACAAAAATATTTACGTCTCCAGAATCAGACTTTTTCTTTTTCTTCTTTTTCTTGCCTTTCTTATCTTCGCTGCGTGCTTTCCGTTTTTTTCCTTTCTTCTTCTTTCTTTCTTCCGGTTCATAATCATCATCTTCTTCCTGTAAATAAAATGGAATATTTAATATTTATTTAGTATTTCTCTCGTCCAAAAATTACAATTTTTAATGATGAAATTTAACAGGGAACTTGGACATRAAAGRAGTARAACTAWGTTTGATTTAGTTGGACGTTTCGTCCCTTTATTGGGACTTCTTCAGCAACTTAATCTTTACAGTTCAGCGTCTTTTTTCATTGAGTAGACATACATTTTTCTTTTTATTATTAATATTCAAAACACAAAACATCTAAACTTCGTTAAATTGATCGTTATTATTTAAGTTCCTCAACAAAACTTTAATATTTAATGTTCATACACTAAATCTTATAAATTTTATTTAAATTTAGAAAAAAAGACAAGAAATTACTTACTAATATCGGAGATTTCTCTGCATCAGATGAGCCATCTACTTGTTGATTAATATTAGAAACTTGACCCCCAGTTTCCTCTAGATCATCTTCACCTGTTTATTTCATATTAACAGTATTTCAATAAAACATAACCAAACATTTTCAAAGTAAGTTTCAATGAAGGAAAAACTATAAAGAAATCAATTAAATTTGAATATAAAAAGTAAAATTCTAACGCAATTCAAAAGAGTTAATGTCTTATTCTACAGGTTATTATTATACATACATATATATATATATATATATACATATATATATATTGATACACTTTGAAATATAACTTTTCATTCAAAACAATTTGTTGCATTATCAT